CATTTACACCAAGAGAGAAACTGATGAGCTCTCGTTTTGATGTTTGAAGGCTGAAAATCCAGAAAATCATCAGTTTCAAAAGCTTCTGACTGAATTAAACAAACCCACCGACGCCTATGAGCTGAGCGTCGCCAACAGGTTCTATGGCGGAAAGGAGTTTCCCTTCCTTCAGGTGAGTTTCCCTGGCCTGCCCACACCCTTCATCCGCATCCTGGTCCTCGGCCCCCCGGTCTCCAAATGGGGGAGGTGAGGCAGGGGAGCCTGGCTGACCCCCACGGAGAGCATTTACCCCAGGGACTTCGGTCTCTCGCACCACAATCCACCCTCGGGTTTCCAGAGCCTGACCACTCAGCAGTGATGTGCGTTTGGGATGGTCCCACATCCTCTCTCTGGTCATGACTGAGCATAATTTAATTTGGGGATGCTTATGAAGTTACTCACCAATTACTCTTAATTCCTCCTTTCTTCCTTCCCATGTCAAAGGAATACATGGATAATGTGAAGAAGTTGTACCTAGCCAGTGTGGAATCTGCTGATTTTGCGAATGCTCCAGAAGAAAGTCGACAGATGATTAATTCCTGGGTGGAAAAACAAACTAATGGTACGTTATGAAAGGGTTAGTCACTAAGAAACACTTTTGAGTCCCCGGGGTGTGTGATCTGCCCCCCACGCTGGACACTGCATGGGGTGCCAGGAAAGGGGTGAGATGAGACTGCAGAGGATGGGGGAGGACGTGCAGATGTGGGATGGTCGCAGTAAATGTGGAGAGAAACAAGGGGGACCCAGGAGGGATCCCAGCACCAGCTCCTGGAAACACAGCTGGAGTCTGGGGGTGAAGTGTCTTTGTGGATCTCAGGTCTCTGCTCAAACTTCCGTTAATTTCACACCTATTTTGTTAGTACATTAACTTCTGGATTATGATCATGAGGAGAAAATATTAAAAGGATTCCCTCATCCTCTAAACCATCCTTCTTGTCACCTGCAGCAGAGCTGCCTGGCCCGTTCTCCATGCCCACGTCCTGCACAGATGGTCACATCCATCTCCCCAACCAAGGCAATGGATGGACAAACTCTCCATCCTCTGAACCACGTCCAACCTCCCATCCTAATTATAGGTCAAACCTATAGCAGTTCAAAGTGGAGAAATAATAGGAAGACACCCCGGGGAATGGTTTAGGGTTCATTTCATTCATCCTAAAGAGCATTCAGGCCTATTTCCTCTGATTAGTGAGTCAAATGTGGAAAGATGGGGGGAGGAGAAAGGAAGAAAGAAAGGAAGGAAGGAGGGACGGAAGGAAGGAAGGAAGGAAGGAAGGAAGAAAGAAAGAAAGAAAGAAAGAAAGAAAGAAAGAAAGAAAGAAAGAAAGAAAGAAAGAAAGAAAGAAAGAAAGAAAGAAAGAAAGAAAGAAAGAAGGAAAGAAAGAAGGAAAGAAAAGAAAGGAAGGAAGGAAGAGAAAGAAAAGAAAGGAAGGAAGGAAGAGAAAGAAAGAAAAAAAGAAGAGAGAGAGAACAAAAGGAAGGAAGGAAGGAAGAAACAAAGGAATTAAGGAAAGAAAGAGTTGTTAAGAAACGAAGAATAGAACAAATTCAAGGGAAACAAGAGAGGAAAGCAGGTGTTGAGGGCACCGGGAGGGAAGGGTACAGTGAGAGAGGGAGGAAATTGACTCCTGGAAAGATCAGCTGAAATCTGTTCATCCATACTTGGTGTGAGATGACTGATGTCACCAGAGACTGAACGCCTTCCCAGTCATAAGAAGGCGTCTCCATGAGGGGAACCCCGTCATCCTGGTGCCAGGAGAGAACCTTCACTTTGGGAACTATTGGGCATGGTGTCCCTAATATGGTGACTTGTGAGAATGTTTTAATGATCAGTTGTAACTTTCAAAAGATCTTCGAGAAAAACCTCGTGTGCCTTCATGAAGACCTTCCATTTTCTTTCTTTGCAGAAAAAATCAAGGATCTATTTCCCAAAGATTCTCTTGACAGCTCCACCGCTCTAGTGCTGGTGAACGCAATCTATTTCAAAGGGCAGTGGCACCAGAAATTTAAGGAAGAAAACACGGTGGAGGAAAAATTTTGGCTGAACAAGGTATTGTCTATACTTTACTTACATAATGTAACCTAACTACGAGGAATGTGAAATTTAAATGCATAATGATTAATGGGCAACTGCAGTAGAAAATAGAATGTGTCAAGGTTCTATTTTCTTATCTTTTTTTTCTTTATTTACTTGGGAATCTTTGAAGAAACTCTTGTCTAACTTACAGATTCCCCAGACCATCCCGTAGAAGGAGGATGAGTTTGGTATCTCAAAAATATTGTCCGTTTTTGTGACTTGTGGTCATTTGCCATTTGTTTGCCACATTAATTTCTTGCAGGATAGAAGCAAATCTGTGCAGATGATGAAAGAAAGGAACACCTTCAATTTCACCTCCCTGGAGGACATGCAAGTCAAGATCCTGGAAATACCGTACAAAGGCACAGAGCTAAGCATGATGCTGCTGCTGCCCAATGCAGTAGATGGTCTGCAGAAGGTAAAGCCGTGCACCTCCAAGTCTTCCTACTGTTGCTTCCATTCCTAGCTATACAAACAAAACAGGCTGTTCATACATTGGTGGTGCAGGCTGGCAGAGATCCAGCACATAACAAAGTAATTTCTCAAGAATCACAGTCTGCTAGGGAGAATATATAGAAAATCTGTCCATCACAGGTTGCATTAATATTCTGATGAGCCTATGGAATGTCATTTCACAAAACTATATTCCTAGCTCTACATCTTCCTATTTTGCAACCCTAACATCCTGTAGTATATTCCAGTCCACTCATTGG